TCACATTCTTGTAATTTCTGCTTTGACCTAGAAAGAGAATATCTGCATAGGTTGATAGAGTACCCTTGATTGAAGGTGGTGAATTGAATACTTTAGTCGAGAAGTCAATTCACTGCTCTATACTGGATTTAATCCCGTAGAGGAGGTTTTGTACGTTAGGGCCTCGGTTCCTTTATTCCGGTGGAGGTTAGTCCCCCGTCGGGTATTTAGATTGGCAGGGTCTGAAGACCTTTAATCGAGACTTTAGACTGAATAAGAACCTTCCGCAATATACCATCATTATATTTGAACTTGGTAAATTACAATTTTGGGCTTGCCCAGTTGTTATCTTAATGAATGTCTCTTAAAAAAACAAACAAACAAATGATTTGACCAAATTTCTTGATTTAATTTCCTGGGCTTCTAAACGAGCTTTTTGGGTCTAAATCCTTTCTATAACAAAACATTCATCCAAACGAGCCCGAAAGGGGAGCAGATCCGGTCAATAACCATGCATAACCCAATCACCATCCGCCACATCACCGCACCTTCTCTCTCGCTCTCCTGAAAAGCCTTAATTCCCCCCCCCCCCTAATATTTAACGGACGATTTCTCACTCGTTTTAAGTCGGGGTTTTTTTCACGGTTAGATCAGATTAATTGTGCTCTTTAAAATGATATCCACTTTGATATATTTTTTGAACAAAAAAAAAATTGAGTCATCTTTTACCAGTCTATACTATCAGTGGCGGACCCAGGATTGTCGGAGAGGTGTGTCGCCGATAAAATACAATAATAATTAAATTAAAAAATTAAGTAAAAATTAAAAGAAATTAATTCATAAAGTTCACAATGTCATATTTACAACTAGGGCTGGAAGTTTGGTACCGTTATTTAGGATATACCGAATACCATACCGAATTTGTCTATATTTGGTATTACCGAATACACGTATTATTTCTTGGGATTGAGATTCAATTTCAATTGTTATTCGGTATTAGCTATTTGCGGGATTGTGATCGGTATATACCGAAATACCGAACAATACCGAAATAGAAGCTAGTGTGTATTTTATCCTCTCAACTAGACTCTATCATTCACTACTACACTACCCTCAATCACCAATATATTGTTATTTTCATAACACCAAAAAGCAAACACTAGTATTAGTCTTCTCTCAGCCTCCAATTCGTCAAATTAAAGATTACCAATGACAAAAACTTGAGATTCCACCTCTACTCCATTCTCCTTATCCATATCCTAGCTCTAGCAAAACTCAAAACTCTTTGTTTAGTCTTTTTGACCTATATTAAACAATCAAATCTAATTTATATATTTAATTATTAATTGTAAAGGTAATTAATTTCGTATTCGATAATACTGATTGGGATACCGAAGTACCGATTTGGATACCGGAATATTTAGGGATTGGGATTGGGATTGATTCTAGGGTGTAATTCGGTATTCGGGATTTCGATATTTGGTATTGGGATATCGATATCGTACCGATTTCCACCCCTATTTACAACGAACCGCAACGACTTTTCATCTGCTGAAATATCTCTAAAATACATTCATCACTTATTCTGCAAAGCAAATCTTTTTCAATATACACAACTAAACAATCATTCATAAATTGGTCACTCAACCGATTTCGAAGATCGTTCTTGATTATCTTCATAACTAAAAATGCTCTTTCGCAGGTTGCAGTTGTAACAGGTAATGATGGGGATTTAGTGGCCGCTTGGCCTATTGGCCATTAGGCCTGTGGTTTTTTTTTTCTCTTTTAATTATAGGCCCAGGCCAACACACATCACACATGTATATTGTATGAACTGAGATTTTTTTTAATAGGAATTTATAGGGTTATAATTTATGAGTTATTTTAAACAAAATTAAAAAGGATTATAATTAAGATTGATTCATTTGGATAATAAATTCTTCGAGTATAATGAAGGTGTGTCGGCTATAATTACTGAAGGTGTGTCGGCTATCCCGAAATAAAAAAATTTGTACCAAAAATATGTAGATCCTTCGTGAAATTCTCGAGCGCGGGTGTGTCGGACGACACACCCTCCCTTGCCTTAGGTCCGCCACTGTATACTATATGGTATTGACTGGTATTGAAATAAGAGCATACCTATGGTGTGAAAAGCGTACCATGGTGGTATGAACAAACCAAGACTATAGGATGGTTGAATACATGATAGTTGAAGTATATTAACTGTCATTTACGACTTTTAACATGGTGTACCGCAAGATACCACCCCGTACCAGGGTCGTATTTTTTGGTCCTGTATTTTGTTCACCCAGAAATTTGTAGATCAAATAGATCATGATGAACTCGTTCCTTCTGTGCAAAAAATTTCAAAAACGAATTAGAAACGAAGAAGATATCATATAGTATGCAGTTGGTACCGAGAGGCAAGAATTTTTTTTTTCTAAAAAAATATTGAAAATGAAGCACAACGAACTTGTTCCATCTGCGCAAAAAAAAAATCGAGTTAAAACGAAGAAGATATGAGCCGATTAAGAAAACAAGGGAAAATAAAAATGACCTTTAATTCTCCATCTTTATATCTGGATTTTCTGAATGAAGGGTCCAGATTTAGTTACTGATGGGTGCATATGCACCGTATATTGTAGGGGTGGAAGGCGGTGTGGTTGTGGTTAACCACACCATATTTTGCGGTTAACCACAACCATAAAACACTGATAGCACTAACCACACCGCAGTGGTTAGTTGTTCGATTTAATTGCGGTTAACCACAAAAATTCATCTTTGAATATACTAAACAAAACAATTTTTGCCTTTTATTAATCTGTGTCATCTTTTTTAATTGGAATATACAAAAGAAAAGTCATGGTTACATTATAATATTTTTTCATAAACAAGTTCCAAAACAAAGTTAGTATAAGTTGCATTCTATTCTATCTAATTTACTTGGAATACTTGAACTTTTATAAATTAAAATAGTAAAATAATTTGTAGACATGGGTGGGAATGAGTATGGGCTCATGGACATACATGCTCATTTTTCTTTGGACATGACCCGTGAGAATTGTTGGGCTTGGTAAGTTTTGATTTAAATGTTTATGAGATAGTGTGGTTATTTGTGGTTTAACCGTTGTGATTAGTGGTTAACCACTAATCATAAAAATCATCACTTTGCTAATCACAACTAAACTACTAATCACAAATTATGGTTAGTGGTTAATCAATCATGTGCGGTTCGGTGCGGTTTGCGGATTAACTGTAAACCACAAACCAAACTTCCACCCCTAGTATCTTGAGCCTCCGAAAGTATTGATTAATAAAGTTAATTGGATTCCACAGTAAAAAGAAAACTGATTAGTCATTAGTAAACGGAAAGCAAAGACGTTGAAATACTTACGGCTTTGCAAACTCAATTATTATTGATGAATCGGCAACCTTCTAGTTTGTCGTGGGTGGATAGAATGTAGCTCCCTCCAAGTCCAACCAATAATGATTGCAAGTTGCTGGAGACAGAATGAGGATCAGGCCCACCACACCACAAGGCCCAAAATTGGTGGGGAGCTAGCTAGCTAATGAACTACTATATGACTAACTAAATCAATGGTCGGTCTGGTTCCCAACTTCCCATAACAAAACTAAAGGGAAGAAGAGCAAGCTGCTGTTACCGTCCAATTGGTAAATCTTGAGGATTGCTATTTGCCGCCCGACCATTTACTATTTGCCGCCCATAATTTTTAGTGAAAATGTCGTTTTTATCCCTCGTCCATTTCTTCACAACACCCAGCCTCATTCCACCACCACACCGCTGACAAACCATCACAGCCGCCGCCGTTAAACCACCACCAGTGTCAGAACATCATAGCCGCCGACAGACCACCACAACGGCCATCGTCAGACCACTGGCCGGCGGACCCCGTCCGATGCCGACGGTCGGACCCCGTCCGATGGCTGCCGGCGGACCCAGTCCGATGCCGACGGTCTGACCCCGTCCGATGGCTGCCGGCGGACCCCGTCCGATGCCGACGGTCGGACCCGGAGGGCCGACGTATAAAAAAAGCTTGATATTGACGGCGAGCGGCGATTTCTTTCTCTACGGCGGGGCAAGTTCATCCCAAATTACGTAAATAGCGGGGAGGGATTACGGGGAATATATTAAGGAAAGTGTATTAATAAATGATAATTCGGAATGACACGCTAAATTAATTAAGGAAAGAGTTTTTTACATAATGAGACGTTTAGACGTAGTTGAAGATGGCTTTGGGCCTTGAGTTGTTAATTGGACGTGGGTGATAGAACTTTTTCTATGTAATTAAAGTTTCCGTAGTTAATTGGACGTGGGTAATTAAGGAAGCTTGTGAAATAAGGTCTTGTGTTTTAATTAAAGAAAACAATTAAATTGGTGGCGAAAGACACAAGATTGGTGGCGAGATGTTAGTTTCCATAATTATGGGTTTAGACGCTTATTCGTGTAATTAGGCGTCGGTTATGAAATTGTAATTAGGCGTGAGTTATGGAAATAAATGTTAATTAAGGAAATTATTTTCGGATTTCAATTAAGTAAATGAAATTAGACGAGTTAATTAAGGAAAGACAGTGTTAATTAAGGGAACCGTTGTCAATTAGAGATTTTTGGGGAAAGAAAAAGTTGCCGGTGACAGGTCCGACGTGGGCGGGCGGACCCCGTCCGACGTCGGCGGGCGGACCCCGTCCGACGTCGGCGGGCGGACCGTTCCGATTCCGGCGAATACCAACCATTTCGGCGATTCAATCATCGACGGGATCGTCGCGGAATAAAAAGAAAAAGGAAGCAAATAGTCGCCCGGAATTGCGGTGAAAAAAAGGAAGGCATGGGCGAATTATTGCCGGAATTTGCGGGAAGAAAAAGGAAGGTGAGGCGGCGAGTTTGTTCCTCAATAGCGGCGAGCCGGCGACACAAAATCCGGCCAACAATTACGTCGACGAGATGGGCAGGTCTTTAGTTAGGATTTTAAGTGTTGAAGGGTAAAATAGACATTTTCATAAATATACGGGCGGCAAATAGTAAATAGACGGGCGGCAAATAGCTATTCACGTAAATCTTAGCCACCTCGCCTTCTCTTTACGTTCATACTACTACTGTTTCGTCTTTCACCCTCGGGCTCTCATTTTCACTTCACTCCGTTCCAAAACCACAGACGGAAGGGAGTCAGTATCCTTTCCTTTTCTCCCAAAAGGAAATGCATTTTTCTCACACAACACAGCATCATTAAGATTGTCCCTTTCTTCTTGCAATCCATCCAATTCCGCTGCGCCAACCCAATTGTACTGAGATTTCACCACAGCCTCTAGTTTTTTTTTTCTTCCCTTCTTCCCCACTCTTCTGAAGTCTTCTTCTCCATCTCTATTTCTCTCCCCCCCCTTTCCTCTCCTGTCTCGGTAGAGAATTTTCTCCCAAAGCTTTACACAGAAATGGCGGCCCACTGCATTATCCCGACCAGGGACGTTCTTCACACCGTAGGGGATAAAAGCTACGACAACTGGATCGCCTGCCTCAAAACCTACCTTCTCTCTCAGGATCTCTGGGATTTAATCGACCTCCCGGAACCTACTACCGCCGCCGCCGCCGCTACAAGCGACGTGGCCGGGACTAGTGGTACTACTACTACTACTAGTATTCCGGCGTGGCGGAGGAAGAATGCGGCGGCTCTGCACGCGATTCAGATTTCTCTGGGTTGCGACATCCTCCACCAGATACGGGAAATTAGTTCGGCGAAGGAGGCCTGGGACACTCTAGCCGGTATGCATCAGAAAAAGAAGAAGAAGAAGAAGAAGCAGCTCCCACAAAACGAGCCTGGAGCTGGAGCTGGAGCTGGAACTGAAACTGATGGGCAGCAGCAGCAGCAGCAGCAGGGCGATGCTGGTAAAAAAGTTATTTAATTGAATTGCCGCTTTGCACTTTGTTTAATTACTATCCAGTTCATAATCTTGCAGTGATTTGTGCCCCTCCTGGCTCCTCTTAATGCTTTGGCTAAGGGTTAAAAAGTTTCATGGATTCAATCTTTACACTAATTAAGTATGAGTTTCACAACAAAATTGTCATTAAACTCCCCAAACAAGAATGATAACCAACCGAAACAGAACATCATCCTTCTACTTCTCCCTTAATTACCCGCGTCATGAACCGAAATTGGTAAAGGTTCTAGTCCCCCATAGCTATAGACAGAGCTTCGTCTCTGACAGCTAAATCGAAGGAGGTGGAGAAAGTTGTGGAGGAGAAGAGTGATGGGAGTGGGTGATCCCACCCAGGCCGCCCAACTTGGTGGAGCCGATGGGTCCTCCGGAGGAAGAAGAAGGAGAACAACTTGGATACCTTGATGAATAATTAGAAAGGTGAAGATGATACTGTTGGCAAATGGTCCAACAAGATGGCCCCAACCCCAACGTGAGATCAGAATCCCGGTAGGCTCCAGCTCCAAGCCAGTTAGTTACTCCATGAGAGCCATTTTAGCCACTAAATGAATGGAAGTGGTCAGACAGATTTATGGCTCAGAGTGCTTCACTCCATCTACATCGCTGTCTTTTACCCTACCAGCTGGGCAGGGCAAACAACGGAGCATTCTAGGAATCGTGGGTGCAGTATGCATATCTAGTTGGAGACCACCATCACATACCCTCACTCTTCTCATTAATGCCTTTCCTCTTATTTCTCTCGTGCTAAAATGGTTCATCATCTTCCTTCACTTTCTCTTTCTAAATTTTTCACTCGCCAATTTTATCATTTCAAGTCTTGGATTCAATAAGGCATAAGGCCAGTAGTGTTGGGATTCTGTCTAGTGTCTATCTCATCTGGGTGTTGTCTAAGCGTCTCAAGACCCTAAAACCAAAAATGCCAATTTTATATTATATGATAAATGAAATATTATTTAAAACACTTCATTTCTTCAATTCAAATGATTAAAATTTGAAAATCACTTAACACTCAGACAACCAGAAAATAATCCACAAGTTCATGGAGACATAGTGTCATTTCTCACAAAGTTCTCGAGCTATTGAAAATGTTGGGATAGAATTCTGAATTTGTAGATGTTAATTTCTCTTTTAACAATGATCACAGCTTAGCTTCATCTAACTATATCTAGGTGTTCCCTTACTCCGTCGATATGTTCTCGATACCTAACTTATCGTGGAACCCCTAAACGAAGTGTGGCTATCCATCTTGTAAGGTGGAATTCTACTTCAGAATTTGAGAATGCTCAAATCAATCCCTCCTCAATCTCATCATCATCTTCGTCTCGAGTGGGTCTAGGAACTTACCTAACTTCCACTTATTTTCCACTGACAAAATCAGCCAGTAACAAACACAGAGCGAGCTAGTGATTTTCTTAACCACACTGCTCATCAAGCATTGCATTGCATTGCATCGTCACTTGGGGGAACTAATTAGTTTATCATAATTTCACTAATAAAGTGCGTCACTGAGAATTCCGAGGCTGTGTGCATACATATAGAAATCAATACTACTTTTTTCTTAGCAAAAAATATTGCTGGAAGTGGCTGCATGACAGAATTTGAAATCGATCTCAGCTTCTGCTAATTCGGATGCGTTGAATGACTGGTGCAAGTCACTGGATATGCCGAGTCGTCGTCCCCCATCTATTGTAACGACGTTCCGTTACTATCCAGTCGGGTTGAATCCCCTAGCGGGCTCCCGATCTGTCTTCTGGCTGCGCTGGTACTGCTGGATAACTTCATGTTAGTCTTTCCTCTGTCCTTTTCTACTTTCACTCCTTCATTCGCACCTTAGCTTATTATTAGTTCATCCCCTTACAGCCTAAAGGTATAATCTATGACTATGAGAGCAGTGCAATTCAATGGTTGGACTTGGATGTTTCACTTTCGATTAGCAGCTGATCAATGGTTTTTTGTTGATGTGTATCAGTAGTCCACGTCATCAGACTGCAAGATTCTTCGAGCTCGTCGAGAGACCACAGCTTCGGGATGATGATGAGCTCGTCGGATGACGACGACGAGATCAACGACACCCAAATAGCCACTCGCGACCTCCACAAATTGAGCAGCACCAAGACCAAAGAGCGCTCAAGGCAGCGCTCATCGGCGGACGACGCCGCCGCCGGCGAGAAATGGATGAAGGAGACCGCCACGTCCTCCACCGTCGTCGGGTCCCTCATCATCACCATCATGTTCACGGCGGCGTGCACCGTCCCGGGCGGCAACAACCAGGAGAAGGGCACGCCGATTCTGCTCCACGACAAGGCGTTCAAGATCTTCATCGCCTCCGACGCTCTGTCCCTCTTCGCCGCCTCCACGTCGGTGCTGATGTTCCTCGGGATCCTCACGTCGCGCTACGCGGAGGCCGATTTCCGGCGATCGCTGCCCACCAAGCTGGTGATCGGGCTGTCGACGCTCTTCGTCTCGATTGCGGCCATGATGGTGACGTTCTGCGCCACCGTGATGATCGTCATGGACCACCGGCCGTTGTACGTGGTTCCGATTGTGATGATGGCCAGCGTTCCGGTGACGCTGTTTATGTTCCTGCAGTTTCCTTTGCTGGTTCAGATTTTCAGGGCGACTAATTATGGGCCCCACTCGAATCAGTTTGACCGGAAGATGAAGCCCTGGCTTTTGAGTCTTTGAACGCCAAGGTTGGGGTTCTGTCGTTTGTTGATTAATGAAGTTGTGTTCATGAATATATTTGTGTAAATATAAGGTAGCACAAAATATATATGTAAAATCGGTTGCTACTCAGCCTTTGTAATCCGCTTCATTTGACATTTTGTTTTTTTGTTTTACGTTTTTGTTTTAATTTGGAATTTAAAGGCCAAATCCTACCACCTGATATAACTGCCCTGCTATGGACCGGGAAATCGTTGGAATCGAGAAATTAAGAATACAAAAGCGAGAATCGAAGACAGACACACGATACGCAATTTGTGTGGTTCACTAACACTATGTGAAATAGGTAGTCACTTTATGGAAGTGGTAGACCGTTTTCTTGTAAAGTGGTCGACCTTTTAGTGGAAGAGGTCTACCGTATGTTGAATATAACAAAATGGAAAAATAGTACATCTGGTTGATCATTGTAGCAAAGAGGTCAACCATTTTGTCCAAATAGGTCGACCATATCATTGCAACGGTCGACCAATTTGTCTAAGTCACCATAGCAAAATTCTAAAGTTTATTGAAAAGAAAAATCATATTAATCGTGCTCTTTAAAATAATATACACTTTGTTTCTGCGATCATACTAGCACTCATGCAAGCGATCATAATATACACTTAGTTTCATTTTAAGAAAAAAGTTGCCATATATTACCACAATATACTATGATGAATAGATGATAAAATTTGGTGGTATGTATATAGTATTGTGCAAAATGGTTTTGTATATGATAGTAGAAATATACTAAACCATCATTCACCACCTTCTACCACCATTTACCAGGATGGTACAAGGTTGTATGTTTGATCCTAGAAAATTTTTGATAAATATATCAAATTCAATAAATCACAATAAACTCATTCCTTCTCCGCAAAAATTCTAAAATTTGACCTAGAAATGAAGGTGGTATAGAGTGGTAGTAGGTGGTATAGAGTGTTTATTGGTGGTACAAAACTTTTCATTGAAATATAACGAAAATAGATACCGTTATAATTTATAGATAACAATAAACTCATTACATTTGTGCAAATGTTTCCAACTTAGAGTTAAAACAAAGAAGATACTACAACTGTGCAAATATCTACAAGTCGATTACAACATTAAAAAAAAATAAGAAATTTGTTTGTCTCTCCCTTAAATTTAACCTTATTGAAAACCAAAAGACTAAATATGATTGCACACAAATGTATAACTAAGAATCATAACACATAGGACTCTTGAATTTGAGGTAAAGTTAGCGAAAATTATGAATGAAAGACAACTCTACACAAACATACAAACAAAGACTCTAATCAGTTTTGAGATTTTGATATTAGACGCGTTTAGTCTTTCTTTGCGGTTAAGTGATGGAGCTCATTTCCCATTGGAAAATATGTCCCTCATTGTACAGAGCTCTTAGATTTTTTGAGGGGGCAATTAAAAAGAAAGCTTGCCTTTTAGTGGTGATGGCATTCCTTAATTGGGGATGAGAGGATCACAAAAAACCCGAGCACCTTCCACAAAGAAATGAAGGGCCGATTTCCGCACAGTTGACTTGACTAAAGTAATCACAACAAATCCATTTCATAATTACTTTGGACTTTCGCGCTCCATGTCTCGTCAATTGTGAAGCACGGGTGTGAACCTATTTTCTCTTAAAATGGTTATGTTATCCTTGATTCTTCTTGCCGCCCACCTATACAGCGGATTGTTACTCGAAGTTGCTTGAAGAGTGGTACCAAAAAGTCAATAGTATTTAGAGATAGCAAATGGATTGAATTCACGTATTGGTGGATTAGATTTGTGGATTCATGAATTATATCAAATGGATTGATTCATGAGTCCAAATGGCATTCAAGCCTTTGACCAATATGTAAATTTTGAAAAGTTTAGGTAGTAAAATGTCAAAATGAAAAATTTAGGTACCAAAATGTAATTTCAATTATATTTTTCGTATGAAAAATAAATTTCAGATACTAAAATGTAAAATATATAAAGTATAGGTACTAAATCATAATTTTATATTTGGATCCATCGATCAATCCATGAATCCACCAATCTAATTAGATTTGGATCAAATGGATTGGATTAGGTAGATAATTTGATGGATGGATTGAGTTGGATTCATGGATATAGATCCTAATTGCCACCTCTAGTAGTACCTTAGTAATTATAAAGATCATAGAAGGAAGAAGTTGTAGAGGCAAGTTCCCCTAGGTATCCTAACCATGTGTCCTTCGATGATCGGTGGCATTCGAGCTGCCAATTTATTTCTTAGTTAGATCTCACATTGTGTCGAAGTATTTACCCGAACTAATGGGCAACAAGGACCCTTCGGATTTCTCCCATGAGGCATTAGGTCATTCGATCGAATCTCGTTCGATCAAATAGGACTGTGATAGACCGATAATTGCACATATTTTTACCCCTATTCTTGAGCCGTTTGAGATGTTGATTCTCGTGTTTTAAGCCGATTTCACGCTAGGTTGTGCGTTTATGTCATATTTCAGGACTTGGCGTTGGAATCGAGGCGAAGAAACGAGTTTCGGGTTGAAAGTAGCTCGTTTGGGTCGAAGTGGGCTGGAGGACAAAACTACCCGGCCATGACCAGAAATACCCGGCCAGGTATTATTTTGAGGAGACCGGGTATTTATCGTTTTGGACGTCTGAGGAACAGAGGGGGTCCCGGTCGTGAAGCTTAAATCCCCGGTCGGGGATTAAATCCCTGAGGCGAAACGCGCGTTTCAATTATACTCGGTCGAGGTCCAAAATACCCGACCGGGTATTTCGACCGGGTATCGCGACAGGCAGCAGTTTTAAAGGAAAAGAAGGCTAAAAGTCAAGGGGTTCCGAGTTTTAGAGAGACAGAGCGATTCCTAGAGAGAGAAAGCAACGAACCAGAGTTCCCAAGTGTCATAGCTTGATCTTCATCACCATTGGAGCCCGGCTTGAGCTTGGAGAAGTACCGATTGACAACCAGGAGCAGAAACTCATCCTTCACAGTATGATTTCCGCATCTGAATCTGCTTTTGCTTCTATCTCCATGGAGTAGTTTCCCCATTCATCTGGGTATGGGGAACCCTAGATTTGTAGGTTAGGTCTGATTGTATGAACTCAAGTACAGAGTTTATGATTTGATTATATTCGATTGAGGCTTGAATGATTGAATGACTTGAATCCTGATCAAATTCCTGTTGTTTCTGCTTTAACCTAGAATGAGAATATCTGCCTAGGTTGATAGAGCATCCTTAATTGAAGGTAGTGAATTGGCGACTTTAGTCGATGAGCCAATTCGCTATTCTGTACTGAATTCAATTCGGTAGTGGAGGTTTGGTTCGTTAGGGCCTCAATCTGTCTACTCCGGTGGAGGTTAGTCGCCCGCTGGAGACTCAGGTTGAGAGGGTCTAGAGACCTTTAGTCGAGACTTTAGACTGTTTAAGAACCTTCCGCAGTATAACTTTCATGAAAACTGAACTTGGTAAATTGCAATCCGGCTTAACTGCAGTCTAGGGGAACCATATCTGGGTGACCTCTCTCGACTTGAAAACAACCGTTCAACTTGCTTCGTTTGTTTGTTAATTTGGACTTGCACTAAAGTTTCACTGCTAGATAACAAGAATTCACCGAGTAGTCATCAAATCTAGGACCCGGGTTGACATTAAAACTCAAACCCGCTATACTACGCTTTAGGAAGTGGTTACACTTGGCCATTTTCTAGAGTGACAGTAGGAGTGAGTCAAGTTTTTGGCGCCGTTGCCGGGGAACGGCTAGGTTGTTGAAGAAAAGTGATTTCTGTTACTTTAGCATTTTCATTTTCGCATTGGTTGTTTGTTCTTTCCCACTTGTGCCTTCACGGGTTTGCATTGCTTGAGTGTGTGCATGACCCGTAGCAAGTCAGGAGGTTTACTGCCGTTGGATCCAGAGCTTGAACGCACCTGCCGCCAACTTAGGAGACAACAGCGAGCCAGACTGGCTACGGAAGAGCGCATAGACGGCCACTTGAGCAGCGATTCTGAGGAAGAGTACGAGATGGAAGGCGAACACAACCCACCCCCGGGGAATCCTCTTCAGGTTCCCTCGGTGAATCAGCATCCACCACCACCGCTGGGTCCCACCTTGGAGTATTACTACACTCCACGAATTGCTGACATCCGCCCGGTCATCCTCTATCCGCCCATTCCAGCGAACAACTTTGAGATCAAGCCATGCTGGATTCAACTCATTACATCTTCCATTCAGTTCCATGGCTTGAAGGATGAGGAGGTGATGACTCGATATTTGCACATGTTTTCCCCTTTGTTTCTTGATCGTTTAAGCTTGCATTATTGCTTCTTTGGCCTATTTTACGCTAGGTTGTGTTCCTTTGTCACATTTCAGGCCCTAGCACATAAAGTGAAGCGTAGGCGCAAGTTTCAAGTCAATCAGAGATCATTTGGCAATTCGGGAGAAGAAAATCGAGCATGACCTGAGGAATAATGGATTTCTACCTCATATTATGGACAAATTATCATGGAAGTTTGTTATGAAAAGAAAGAGGACGAGACTAGGAGCGTCTGGGTTCAAACGGCCACTGATTTGGAGTCCGAACGAGGGAGAAACGAAGCTTTGAACAGGAGCGGAGGAAGAATTACGGGCAGGAGAATTACGACCGTAATTTGGCCTCCCATGCCCGTATTTTCACTGCCGAGAGGAGCTTTGGGTGCGCTGAAACTTAACCAAAATGCGTGTTTTGGGTAAAATACGGGCATGGAAGAATTACGACCGTAATTCAGCCAGTAATTCGCCCAGAATCGGGTTTTTGAGGAAGATTCGAGTCAAAGGAAAGGGAGAGTTGGGTTTTGGTTCACAAACACCCAAGGGACGAACCCTAGAGAGTTGTGGAGGACTTGGGAACATTCTTGGAGCTATTTTGGAGGATTTCTTTCGCCATTGGAGCTCGGGAATCAAGCTTGGAGATGGAGATTGAAGATCTAGATCAGATTTCTGCACTCTCTCTCTTCTCTATGGAGTAACTTCCCTTCACTTAGGTTTTGAGGAACCCTAGTTCCATGTGTTAGGATCTTTCTTGTATGAAGTTTTGGATGATATATTGTTTGATTATAATCGATTGAGGCATGATTTATTGAGTCAATTGAATCTTTATCAAATTCTCTTGATTTCTGCTTTAACCTACGATAGATAGAATCTGATTAGGTTAAGAGAGCTTCCTTGATTGATAGTGGTGAATTGGTTGTGCGAGAGTCAATCAATTCACTGCTTTGTACTGGAATTCATTCCAGTAGTGGAGTTCTGTGTTCATAGCCTCAGCTTTCTATCCTGGTGAAGCCTAATCGTCTGCCGGGTAGTTGGACTGAGAGGGCTTGGTCA